ACCCCCCCTCCCCACTCTGCCCACACCACCACAACTCTGCCCACACCACCACATCCCTGTCCCCCCCGTGTCCCCCACCTCTCCTCCTCATCGTCCTCATCCCCCATGGCGTCATCGATGGCATCGTTCATCAGCTCCTCTTTCATGTCCATAATCTCCGCCTGCTTCTCAAACTCCATCATGATCTTCTGGATCTGTGGCAGCTTCAGCTGGGGGGACACAGGAACACGGCACACAGGGACACGGGGATGGCCCCATGGCCACGTTGGGCACTTCATGGTGGCTACAGCCTTGGGTAGGTCCACACGGCCACCTTGGGTGGTTTGTGGCGGCTACGGTCTTGGGGATGTCCCTGTGCCCACCTCAAGTGGCTTCTGGTGGCCACGGCCTTAGGCACATCCCCTGGGGCAGCTCATGGTCGCCACAGCCTCACGGACATCTTCACGGCCACCCCAAGCAGCTTGTGGTGGCCATGACCACAGGGATGTCCCCCTGAAGCAGCCGGTGGTAGCCACGGTCTTGGGGACATCTTCATGGGCAGCCCAGGGCAACATGTGGCGGCCGCACCCTTGGGGGGGTTCTCCCCTGGGGGCAGCCTGTGGCGGCCAGAGTCTTTGGGATGTCCTCACAGCCACTGCAGGGCAGCTCACGGTGGCCACATTCTCCAGGACATCCCCACGGCCACCCCAGGGCAGCTCACGGTGGTCACGGCCTTGGGAAAATCCCCACAGAGCATCTCACAGTGGCCACAGCCTCAGGAACATCCCCACAGGCACCCACCTGCCGGTTCATGGTGGCCATGGCCTTGGTGACGCCCTTCATGGCCTGGGCCATGGAGTTGTTGGACTTGAGGGTCTGGATCTTGAGGGACACGGCCTGGACATTGGCCCTCATGGTGATGAACTTCTTCACGTAGCGTCGCGTCCGCACCAGGTCCTTCGCCATAATCTTCACCGCGTCCTGAAGGCCGGGGGGAACGTCGAGTGGCCATGAGGTCCCCCGAGAGGCCTAGGGGATCTCCAGGGACCCCTCCGTGTCCCTCGGGGCCCACCATGGTCCCCACCACCATTTCAACAGTCTCCTGGTCCCCTTGTACCCACCGTGGTCACTTGGAGACGTCCATGGTCCCCCCCCCAGTCCCCACCCTGTTCCCTGGTGCTCTCCAAGCACCCGTGTCCCTGCCGCGTCCCACCATGGTCCCCGGTCTCCCCCCAGCATTCAAGTCCCCTCCACGGTCCCCGGGTCGCCACTGTGGTCCCCCAGTCCCACCACTGTCCCCCAGGTCCCCTCCACGTCGCCCAGTCCCACCATGTCCCCTGGTCCCCCCCAGGTGCCCCAATCCCCTCCATGTCCCCACCGTGGTCCCCTCCAGGAGTCCTGGATCCCTCCGCGCCCCCTGGTCCCCCCCGC